TACAACAACATTATCAACCAAATGTGCCAGATGTTCTTTCATAAAGGCTACACCCACTGTATTTACAGAATTGTAAACTATATGATAAGCTGGACCCATGGACGAAACAGCCAGGGGACAGGCAATTGTGCTTCTGAATGGCGATGCCAACATTCAGATATGGTAATATACAAAGTCCAGAGAAAGCTGTACTTAGCATATTCTACTCTTAAGAAACACACCTGCTTATACTACAAAGCATTATGAAGGTCCATTGTTTGGTAACCTAATTCTGTTAATCTGCATAGGAGATGTTGATTGAGCTCATTCAAGCAAAACTCAACTGTACTCTTAAGTTAGCCAACTCTCTCTGTTTCTTTTATAGTATTAATAAAGCATGAAGCTGATAGTTACTCATGTTGTTGCATTCAGTTATTTTCCTCTTGTAAAAATATGCAAATTCACTCCTTTGTGTTTTGGGGCTCTCGTGTGACCCTTCAGACTGTACTAATCAGCTCTAGGGGTTTTGGTCCCATTATTTCAAATTTGCTCTCTGGCTGAAAACATCATTCCATTTATGCTTTATATTAAACTTCAGACATACAGATTCTTAAAACACACACACACACACACACACACACACACACACACACAAAACCATAGTAGGAGAAAGAGCTAGCTTGGCAATTAATGCTGTATTCAATTTACTTGAGAAGTGCATGAAGCAAGATGCCACCTAATGATGCAAAAGCAATACTGCACTTTGTTTTTGTGTAAAACCAGAACCCAAGAGGATTAGTTTGACTCCACACTGAATGAAGGGGTAGCAATTATCTCCTTATGCGACTAGAAATCAGTGACACTGGAGAGGGTTGTTTTTCAGGTCTCCCTCATCTTCCTTGCCCAGTGAACTCAAACTACAGTAATCAGACACATGGAGCTTTTAACCCTGTTATTCACAGAACAGGCAAGAGCAAGATAGCCAAAGAAACTCACACTTCAAAATATAGCTGTTATTATAAAGAAGTGACAATCGGTAGACAAAAAGTCCCAATCAACTTTTGCATAGAGCAGTTGATTAAGGTGGGATGCTTATTAAAAATCTCTCCCCCCCCCCCAGCACTTTTGCAACAAATGCATACTGAGCAGAAACCTGTCGAACAGCATTTGAAATGCTACAAGGAATGAATGCAAGGTTGCCAGAAAGACAAATCAATAAGAATTACCAATAAATAAAACAGTATACACCAGAGGCAACCAACATGGTGTCCTCCAATTGTTGTGGACTACAATTCCCATCAACTTCAGTCAACTTGGCCAATGCTCAGGGATGGTGGGAGTCGTAGTTTTCAACACCTAGCAGACGATACCCCATTGGCTACCGCTTTACATAATTCCTACCACTTCATTCTTAGAAAGCCACAACCATCTCTAAAAGCCATTCTAACCCCATATGTTCTATACTGCTTACCAAGACTTTGAGGACAACATACTTGACCCCAGTTTATTACATCTTTACACAGCAATCCTTTAAGCCCAGCTAGCAGTGCTTATAGTGGACTCAGGCCATGGTCTTAAGGCATATGATACTGTAACTTTGCGAAATCTAATCCAAGTCTTGATGTGATTAGCAGCAGGGAACGCTCTGTGTTGTTGCCTTGAGTGCCATAAGGAAATAAAGGCAGAATATTAATCAATCAATAACCAGAATTCTTCGCAACTAGAGTTTGCTAACTAACCTCAAATCCTGGTAAGCAGGAAACACTGATGAACACCAGTGCAATCATTAAGAATGGGTATTTTTTAATTATTTGTTATTATTATTTTTAAGATTTCCTAACGACTCTTCATCATAAAGTTCCAGGGCTGGTTACAACAACAAAACATACAACTATAAAAACCAACAAAACCATTACAATGATAAAACACATGAAACCGTTCCAAATGGAAAAGGGCAGTCAGGGCAGAGCCACTGCAAGTATTTCGTACACAAAACAGAAGCAGCAGTTACCTATGTGGGGTAGCTGTTATTATGCTGCGAGTATGAACAGCATAATAACAGCATAATAACCTGGAGACCCAAGTTCAAATTCCTTCTTAGTCCAAAAGCTCAATGGGTGACCTTGGTCCAGCCTCAGCCTTACCTTCCTCACCTGCACATAGGGTTGTTTTGCAAATAAAGTCTAAGTAGGGAGCAAATTTATGTATGCTGCTCTGAGTACTTTGCAGGAAGGACAGAATGATTATTACTAATTATTAATATTGTTGTTATTTACGCATTTTTGAATCACCACCTACATGAGCATCAAGGTGATTTAGAAACATATAATAAAAGCAGCTAAAAGTAATAATAATGCAGCTTGTTGATGCCAGGAGGGCACATCTCTCCTGAATATACATATGATCTTGATATGGTGCCAATCATATAGCATAGGAAAAGTTTTATGGAAATATGGCAAGCAATTTTAGAAGAAGGAACACAATGATAATACATTGTATAGAATAGTGGCTATTCCTTCTTGCACTAGTCATCCAAGGAAACAGCATTTTTACACGCAGTTGCTTCATATTAACATGACTATAATGCCAGGAAACTTAATGGAGGCTCTCTACCACAGCCTTCAACTCTCACCTAAGAAAGGGCTGAAGAGGGTCCTTCTTCACTGCCATGCATTTTGGGTCAGATGGCCAGGAGAATGCACTTCCAACTTCCATAAAAGCATTTTTAAAATTCTTAGTTTAAAAAGCTGCCATGGCAAACCATGACAGGAGTGCAGGCATTCTGCTGGCCCCCTCACTCAAAATGCCTGGCTCGAAAAAAGGACCCTCTCAGCCCTTTCTCTAAGCAAAGTAAGGCAGTGAGGAGGAAGTAAAGGCAGTGGCAGAAGATCTTTGCCTCACCGAATGTACAATAATGAGGTGGGGGGAAGGTCCCCAGGACAGGGGCAGCGCCTCTGTACCCACCACCTGCGACAATGGTCTCAATCTGTTTCATTATTGGGCCAGCCCAAGCCATAGCAACCAACATGGACAATTTCAGTTGTGACTCTCTCTCTTTTGGTATTTTGTGTTTTTAATTCTTACTTGTAAACCACCCAGAGGACTTTTGTCATTAGGTGGCATATAGATATTGGAAATAAATAAACAGTGTCACAAAGATGAACCCTGATTCTTCTAGTTTCTATGAAATTAAATATTATATTTGGGACACTTCTCAGGAAAACAAAAGGAGAGAAAGATGGGCTCAAGTCAATCTTGTTTGAAGCTTCATTGAATCAGAAAACCCAGAAGTTCAAAATACTATCACAAATGTTCAGCAAGCAAAGTTGAACGCAGGCAACCAATGAAAAACAGCAAGTGTTTCATGTACTTAATTTCATTTATATGGGAAGCAATACTGTTTTCCTCCTTTCTCAGTAAGCTAATAGATCTGAAAAGTTTCTTCTCCAAGACCATAAACTATTCTGCACATCACCCAGCAGCGTACACATGAGCATATACCCTTGAGCACACATGCTCTGGTACTAAGCAACTCCTACTGAAAAACAACATGCAGCAAGAAGTATTACTACTTAATTCCCCCAGGCAAATGATTGGAATAAATTCCACTCGCGCACTCTCAAGAACAAAAAATCCACAGAGAATTTGGGGCATGCATGACGCAGCGCACAAACCCTCATGGGAAAGAATTCTTAGAACTTCTTAAGTTACTACCTGACAAGTCTCACATCTAGGATATTTATGAAGAAGGTTGTCATTCCCCCAGAGAGATAATGTAATGCACAAACTAAGAGGCAGAAACAACAGAGGAGCTGTTATCCACCCAGGAATGGAAAGACTCACTATCCTGTATTGGTTCCGAATTGCTCCTGATTCTCCTGTGTCCATGACTCAGTTGTCATTCAGGCTAGTCATTTCTATGTCACAAAATCTTTATCGAACTCGGTGTACATTTCCCCACGCACACTATATTTAGGCCTCAAAATAGGATCAAGTAAGCTGAAGAACACCACAGAAAGACAATAGTCTCATCACAGTAATCCCCCTATGCAAACACAGGCTCTGCAAGAATCTTATGTCACTCTATTTCTCTTAAGGAGTCAACATTACAGGGATTACACATCCTCCCCCTGACCAGCTGCCCTCCAGGTGTTTTGGACTCTAATTCCCATCACCACTAGCCTAAATGGCCAATGGTTGAGGATGATGAGAGCTGTAGACCAAAAGATCTGGAAGGCACCAAGCTGAAGGAGACTGCTAACATAACTAGGTCACTCACTAAATGCTGCCTCAGAATAAAGGTCACACGCACTCCATACATTTAAAGCACATGGTTTTCCCTGAAGAATCTTTAAAACTCTAGTTTACCCCTCCCAGAGCTATGATACCCAATACTCTTAGCAAACTACATTTCCCAAAATTCTTTGGGGAAAGCCATGTGCTTTAAATGCCACAGCAAACTGTATATTAATGCTGGTTCTAAATGTGTTTTGATGAATATTAACTATTGTTTTTAAGCTTGTTTGTTTGCATTTTATAATGGTATTTTTAAATGTTGTTAGCCACTTTGAATCCCAGCTTGGAAGAAAGGTGAAATAGAAATAGAAAATAAATGCATTCCATGGTGTAGGTGTGATCAAAGACACCTTAAAAAGTGAATATTTTAAAACCAGCGATTGTACCTTACCCTTAAAAACATTTTAATTCTTTAACTGTTACAACCACAGGAAATAGACCTATGACTAAGCTCTTTGTTACTTGTGAGCAGGGAGGGTGGTGCCAAAAGTGATGCAAAGGGCCCAAGAGAAATAATGGCAAGGCAGAAACAACATCTATGCCAAGTCTACAGTTTATATTTTCAGCTCATACATGACCACTCGGGGGGGGGGGGGAGATCCCTGCATGGTTCAAGATGAACTTCTTAGTGAACTGAAAGTACTTTACAAAGCAAATGGTAACAACCTGTGAAATACCCAGAAAATTATGTTCAAAATATATGATTTTTTTCTAAACTCACTTACCGAGAAAAACAAATCCATCTGCTTCTTTTTCTGTCACCAATACCTTCTTGGTATCTTGGTTTTTTCGGAAGAAATTGAACATCTTTTTGAAATACAAGTCTAGTAACAAAAAGGTGAGAAATGGGTCAAGTGATGCGGTGGGGGGGGGGACTTACACAATTCTGGTATTATCAAAATAAACATTACGAAATGATCTTTACATCAAGTTCTAAGATTAGAGACTTGAACTGGGGGAGGATCTTGCAGGAGCAAACAGAGAACACCAGAGAGATACAAGTCAGTTGTTCACTATTGCTCAGTTCAAGAAATATGAGTTTCTGTACACCCAAGCAGTGTTGGCTGAGTCTCAACTTCTGACACCTGGAAAAAATAACCCAAGCACTGGAAAAAGTTACTCAAGATAATATTATATTTTCCACCATAAAAATATTTTAATCAGTACACCATCTGATTATGTGAAGAGCATTTTTACTGTCAAGTAAAATAATTGTGTGTGTTACAGAGAAATCAATACTGTGTGATTCCCCAGAGTCAGGACCAGCAGGGCATAGCTGACTTTCCATGCTAAACCTAAGGTTGTCTGTGGGGTGGGGTATGGAAGCAAGCAGCAGCAGCAGCAGCAGCAATGACTGCGCTCTTCTCTTTTTGTGTTATGCCACCCACCCCATGGCAGGCATTTTGTGGCTGGGGCCCACAGCACCCTCTCAAAAAAGGTTGGCAACCCCTGATGTAACAGGATGGCATATTCTAAACTAAGTTAAGTCATGAAATGACCTGTTTTAATTATTTGTTTATTTAAAATCAATCCAACTTTATTATTATTATTATTATTATTATTATTATTATTAAAATTTCAGTATTGCCCTTCATCCAAGGACCTGAGGATGTTTTACAATATAAAGACACAAAAATAGCATAGTAAGAAACAAAACAATATCTCTCCCCCCCCCCCAGTTTAAAAAGCCATAGATCGTTTAATTAGCCAAAGGCCTGGGAGGAGAGAAATGTTTCTGCCAGGCAAATGCCTGGATAGGACATTCTATAAGTGGGGGAGCCACCACAGAAAAGGTCTGTTCTCATATTGCCGCCCTCTGGACCTCTTGTGGAGGAGGCTTACAAAGAACCACCTCAGTTGATGATTGCAGGGTCCAGGGTGGTTCATATCAAGCCAAAGCCTTTCCTCCATATGTTACACACTAGTTCTTTTATAAGTAAGGTGATCCTTAACCTAATGGCTTTCATTCCATGTAGCAGTAAGTACGCCTCCTATCACTGCAAGGATTTCCACTTGCACAATGAAGCTTCCCCACCCCCTTCATCCCTGTGTGCCACCAAAATCTGTTCAGTGGGTTCTCACAACCCTCCAGAGCAGATTTTGAGGGGGTGCATGGGACGAGCGCATGAGGAAAGTCTTTGCACAAACACAAATCCTTGAGCTGATGGAATGAGGGAGTTGGAAACTGCCCCACGACCTTTCACTTCCTATCAGTTCCCAATCCGTTGTGCAGATATGTTTTTCTCTCTTCCTAAATCCTGCAGTACTTGCCTTTTCACTTTCAGCAGCTCCAAGCATTGACTTCCTTCCAAATGCTTGACTATGAAGTACTCTTCTTGAACTGCAAAGATGTCCTTCCTTTATACACTAGGCTAAAAGGGAGGAAAACACAGAGTTACTAACGCTCACATGCTAGTATCAGGATTTCAAAACTTCATCTGCAATCACAAAATTTAGATTATATTTAAGAATGAAAGAAAGAGTTCACACTTTCATTTTGATAAACCAGGCCACTAGACTTCTACAAAGCTGCACTAAAGAACACTAAAAGTCCTACCAAAACTCATAAACTGCAATATTTAGATCGCAAAGCTTTTTGTTATAGGTCTAGGTGTGTTCCAATGCCCAATGGAAATACTCTGGCTTCTGCCCTTTTAAAATAACGCTGAAATTATTAACAGTCTACATGCCTGTCCTGGGCCCGTTGTTGTTCAACATCTTGAATGAAGGTATGGGGGGGGATGCTCAATCTTGATTGTTTTTTCCAATGGGTCTACCCTGAGTAGGGGTAATATTGGATACAACTCATACACACATATATAGGAACAGTAATACTGAACCTAACTTGTAGGGGCTCTTTTAAGGAATAGTGGACTTATGCACATGAAGGTCTTTGAATCCTGAAGGCTGCTTACTGAAACCAGTAATTCCTCTAACTTTTGTAGAAGTGTCTTCCTTATCTAGTTAGCAAAGTTTCCTTCAACACTGCACAAAGGGATACAGGTATCTTTACCTTTGGCAAATAAAAATTGCTTGTAGCCAATCAGCACTGAAGGTTAACAAAAATTGGTTCTTTCTATGGCAAATACAAATGTCTTAGGTAATGGGCATTTTGAGGGCAAATAATTTTTCATAGAAGTAGTTTTTTCAGGTGAACAGTTCATTTACAGGAGCTAACCAGATGCAATAATGTATGACCACCTCCGATACATGACTGAACCTGGCCAATCCCATAACTCACAGTGATCTACCCACATAAACAATGTAATGTTTCAAGACAGAGCACACAGTTGGTCTCCACAACCTACTTTTGCTGCATTCCCCGCCCTGCCCCCCCCCAAGATACATGTTTCTTGGGATGCAACGTTTTCGTTGATTTGCAGATTATATTAAAATTAACAAGCAGCAGCTTTGGAAAACCAAACTTTTTTTATATACAAGAACTTACAAAAACCACAGATAGCACGTGCCATCTTATGATGAGCATTTCCACCCTTGCCTGCCGTGAAAAATGAATAAATAATCTAGAAACAGAGACTCCATTTCCTGCTTGTTTTGACGTATTTGAATTTAACGAATTAATCAATCAACTAAGTCGCAAACTACTAATCAACTAAGTTTCTCTGAATGGGATGCCAATCCTTGTTTTCTTCTTGACACCACTCTATTCTATGGGTCACCAGTTCAGACGTTAATTTATACACAGAAGACCAGACAGGTAGGCGGTCAAAATTCAACGTCATCCCATGGCTCTCCGTCACTATCTATGGGTAGGACGACCCACCAGCCCCACCTCAAGGAGGACCCAGAAAAGCTCTGCCCCATAAGGTGGGAAAAGAAGTGAAGCCAATTTGCTGGCGCGGGTAGCTCCGCCCACCAGACGAGAGCAGCTGACGTAACAGCACCACAACACCCTTCCCCAACTGGCGGCGCGCATGCGCGTGTTCCAAATCCGCACGTACATTCTGAATGTTAACGGATATAACCGTCGAAGCGCAAAAAAAACCACCGCCGGCGTTATTCGACGACTGCCCCCGCGCGCCACAAGCGAAGGACGAAATAACCCTCGGCCTCGACTTCCTGTTTTCGCCACGGGCGAGGCCTCTCTGACAGCCGACCCTACCTGCCTGTCTTGAATACGCACCTCCAGCAGCCTTTTTTGCACAACAACCTCCGCTTCCGGGTTCACGAGGGACACCTCCCGGCGAATGAACTGAAGTAACCTCGTCGGCTGAGGAAAATCAGTCTAAGTTAGCTGGCGCGCGCATGCGCAAATTCTCCCTAACGCGCGCTCCGCTACACGGAAATGACGTAAGTCCGCCTGCGTATGGAACGTTCTGCGAGCGCATTGGAAGGTTTTCGCAGGGACCGTCGAACTCTGCGCGCTTCGCCCGTTGCCGTGGTGACCCGCGCGGCGAGCGGAAGTCGAAGTTTCCCGCCAATGTAGCCTGGATAAAGGCAGAGGGCGGGGGAGGCGGCCTTGGTTCAGACGCCCAGTTCCGAAATGGCGGACGTGCTGGAAGGACCTCGGGTGCGCGTAGCCACAAATCAGTTGGCGCAGTACATTGGGAAGCCCGTTTGTTTCGTGGGGCGCCTGGAAAAGGTAAGAGTGGTGCGGGGTGGCTCCGTTACTCCTCTTCGTCCGCCGGGGGATTTGCCTTGCAGGGCATCGCAGGCCCCTTGGGGTGGTGTATCCTTAATACCCATGATATCCCTCGCTTAGCTCCAGACAAACTTTCGCCAAAGGCGCCTGCTCTTTAATGTTGCTGTTTGTGAGACAGCTGAAATTTGTTATCCTTTATTTAAAAACAAAACATTTATCTCTTGTTTGGTTTGCAGTATGAACACATTAAATATTGTATATATATTGTTAGTTTTACATGGTGATTGTTGATTATACACAACAAACATAACAATTCCAATAAAAAAGAAAGCTTCTCTCGAAGCTTCTGACCTCCCTCCCCGAGTTCCATTTCTAAAATTTTGTTCCTGCATCTTTTACCGCAATGTAATCTATCTATTATAAATCCATAGTATCCAAAGTTCGTGGTACTTTACAAGTGTTAATGTATTCCTGCTAGTGATTTCAACTGTTTACAGTGGGGACACATTAAATATACACAGGAGGGGTGGTATAGAAAATTATTCATAAGATATCTAGCAAATGAAGTTTATTATATTGGTACCCTGCTTTGGATAACGGCAAAAACTCAAGGCAATTACAACCCCAATCCCCCAAAAACTTATAAATGAGAGGAAGCAACAGGAGGAGAGAGGATATATTTGTATATATTCCCTTGAACCTGTTTGGTTTTTAGGCTTGCTTGATGTTGCCATTTATTTTCTCCCTCTTAATATTGTTATTGCAGATGTAGCTCCTATGTTCCTTTTTTTTCCCCTTTTCCTTCCTGGAATGTGACTTGCATTTTTACAGACTGCCATGTAGTTTTCAAGCATGCAGTTATACCCACATATAGATGGGGTATTACCTGAGTGCTTCAGTATTTCCAACAAAAGACTGACAGAGTGGTGTTGATAGGAAGGTGCAGCAGGTTAGAAGTGCCTTGAAAATGAGTGTTTTGAAATTTTATTTAGATTCATCCATCTGGGAAATTTTTCTTCCTATCTGATGGAGAAGGAAAAAATGCAACCGTGGAACTGGACACACCTGTGAGTATGTCTTGTCTTTTGGAAGATTTCATAATTCTTACACTTAACAGTTTTTGCTGGTGATGAGCATACAGTGGATTTAATTGTAGAAGCGGAATTGACCTGAACAGTCTTTGTTGCTGGTATAGCAGTTCCATATATGAGGGCTTCAAGTTCTAAACCTCAGCTAGATAAAGGAACTTACGTGGTTCTGGTATTGGCCCAGTAACAAGAATAAGCACTACTGCATTTACAACTGCCCTATCAAGTTAAGTACCTGAAGACTATAGAAGCATCTTCTTAGACTGAACAGTGTGCTGATTATATTTTTATATTCTTAACTTTTCCGCTCTGCATAGCTCCTTTGTCCCTTAGGTTTGTCTAGGATTGTTTGTTGCTCACTCCTAAGCTATATATAAGGTTAGAATCAAATGCAATAGCCTACTAGTGCTACAGATATTCAGCTAACATAACCTCTGCTTTTCTGTGCTGTACGGTACTGATGCTTCTGCTTGGTGTAACAAAAATAACTTCCACACCAACAAACCCTTTTGTCTTATGTTTGATCTTGCCTATTCTTTAGTCATCTGTGTATCATTTGTATAGGGTTATCTCTGTGTGTGTGTGTGTGTGTGTGTGTGTGTGCGCGCGCACGTGTGTGTGTGTGTGCATGTGTGTGCATGCATGCTCACATGCACAGCAAAATTCAGGTGAATTTACTGGGGTGGGTCAGGCAAGACAAAAGGCTTGAATGGGCCATATGTTTGTCACAGATTCCCAAAATATGTGATGTAGTTAAGCTAGGTGGATGTTTGAGAGAATAGATAACCTCACCTTTACTTGGAATGAACTTCACTTTCTTGAACATTCTTAAGTAATTCTTAAAAGTGTTTTATGGGAAGGTGTAAATGTAAAATAGAGAGCCAAGTTCAGTGAGTTGTAATTTCAATTCCTAAGTGAACTCCCAGAAACATGGTGGGTAGGGGAAGTGTAAAATTGATTGTTCGTAAAATTCTTAAAGACATTTGTTCGTCTGCTATTGTAGCTTGAAGAAGAGATCTCTGGGGTCATTGAAGTAGCAGGAAGAGTTACAAATCAAGTAAACATCATGTGTGCATCATATACCCAGTTCAGAGAAGATAAAAACGCATTTGGTAAGTGAATTATTTCCTCCCTCATTGCAAATTGCAGTTTTTCAATACTTTTGAATAAGCTTCTGGCACTCTTGATTAACAAGTTTCTTTCAATAATGGTCAGTTCTTATCTACTATTTTCCCCCATGGAAGTTATGTTTGGCATGATTCCCAAAGAAGTAGATGCACAAAATACATTGTCAGAAATTAAAATCCCATGTGGATACAGTGGTACCTCGGGTTAAGAACTTAATTCATTTTGGAGGTCCATTCTTACCTGAAACTGTTCTTAACTTGAAGCACCACTTTAGCTAATGGGGCCTCCTGCTGCCACACAATTTCTGTTCTCATCCTGAAGCAAAGTTCTTAACCCGAGGTACTATTTCTGAGTTAGTGGAGTCTGTAACCTGAAGCATCTGTAACCCGAGGTACCACTATTTCATTTTGAATATTTTGTTTGCCAAGTGCAGGCACTGCAGTTACAAAAAAAATATTGGTGGGAAGGATTCACTTGCGATGACAACTTCATAGTCATTGATCAAGTTGTCATTCCTGTCTGTTCAAAACACTGAACTTGGTATATATCTAGCCAAATAGGATAATTCTGTTATTGATGTATTAAATCTGTTATATGGCCTCTTCTATCCAATATAGTTATTGCTCTTACAGAGGGAGAGCAATTAATCCCTGTTCACACTCAGGCAAGATACTGGTTAAAGCAACCCCTTGAAATATTTTTAACTGTCCTGACTTTGGAATTGAGTATGTTTCTTTAAGAATGAGATGCACATTATAGTTAGCGTTGTCTCTTAGGTAGTATTGTATAAATAGGATAGTTCACCTGCACCAATGTTTTTTAATGTTATATTCTTGTTTCTTTCAGATTTAGCACTATATAATGAAGCTCTGAAAATTCTCCATGAATTTCCTGACTACTACCCTTTTAGTACTAATGCATGATTGGTACTCTTTGTTACAACTTAAGAGTGGACAATTTGGTGATGCTTACTGAACAGAACTGTGAAGAATCTCAGTATGAAATAATCTTGCTTAAAGTGTACTTGGGACTGTCTGCTATGCCAGCAATATAGTACATAATCTAGAAGTTCATGCATTTGTATCCTAAATGGCGATGCTGTCCTGAGGACAAAAAACCTGTGTCTAGTGAGAGACAGTATTTCGCAATAGATACGCATTTTAATGTTAAGCTGTTACTCAGGTAACCATCTTAGGTAAATACATAACACAGTGTTTATTATTTTATTTTATTTTTAGGTGATCTTTTGTACATGAAAAGTATCAGAAAAATCAGTGTATTAAATAAAAAGCAAACTATCATAATATTGATGACATCTAAAGTAAAACGTGTTTGGTTTTATTCTAAGACTTAATTGGCACTTTAGTCTCCTTACCTAACCAGCATGTTATAGCAGTTCAACAATAAACACCATTTATGTAGTAGTTCTTGTCTGACGAATGATTCATACCAAATATCTGTTCTTTACAAGGTAGTTGGAATATTTTTGTAAAGCAGGACTCCTGGGGGTTTTTTGGAGGGGGGGGTCACCATAAATCAAAGCCTAATTTTTCAATGGAGATTTACTATAAAGGTAAGCACTTTGAATGTTGGAGCTTCCCTGTTTACTTTAACACCCAATGTTGCCCGGTGCTGAAATCAGAACACAATACAAAATCTGGTACTAGTATCTACCTGGACTATTGCAGCATCACCTGTATGAAGGTCATGAAACATGCAGCTTAATCAAAATGGGAAGTTAAATCAAGCTTTTATTTTACAATGTCAAAAGGAGAAGCAACTGTATTAACAGAAGTGGTTAAAAACCCTCGGTCTGCAGAAATACATACACAAGCCGAAATGCCTGAGAACTGACTTCAAGTCAGAACTACTCTATGCAGTACAGCCCCTGCATCATTGAGCACTGAGTGTTAAGATATTCATACAGAACTTTCAAGTACACAAAAGACTGTGCCCTCTCAAGTCAGCAAATACAGCTGCTTTCATTTTACAAAATACTGTTAAGACAACTGGGTAACACATTAATAGCAGTTCCTATTTACATACTCAGTATAATTTTTTACAGAAGGGAAGGAGACACCATATTAATATCAGAGCTCTTTTAATACTTTGAATATAAGGGCACAAAAATAAAGTCTATAAGTTGCTCTTAATGGCTTAAAATTAATTCTAGATATTCTGGAAATGTATTGAAGCAACTACAAAAATACAGGAACTTAGATATTGTGATATGCATCTCAAATATTGATCAATAGTAAAAATGCAATTCTGACAGGAAGTAGACTTTGACTAAGGCAATACAACAATTAAAAAAATGGTGTACATAGAAATAAATATTTCTGCTTCCATTAAGCATTTGTTTCCCCCCTCCCCTTTTAACATCGTATCTTTGTACAAAGACGGAAGCTTGGATCCAAAGTGGCACTTGCATCTGTGGCCAATTTTTGACCTACCCACTGCACCACATTGCCCTTCATAATGCAGTGAGAAAGTAGGCAGGAAAGCCCAGAGGCATGCACAGAATATTGTGCATGGTTCTTTGCATCCAAGCCAACAGAAGATTGTCAATTAGGCAGCTATAATGTAGGCCAAACAATTATTACATTGCATTGAAAATGTGCACAAAGGCAGTTCAAGTTTCTAGTTGACTAGTGAAAGTTTGAATGCAACTTACTTGCCGTGTTGCTAATTAACAGTAGAAAAAATGTAAACTAAAATGTAACATGCACTACAGTAGGTGTGAGGAATCTTTGGCTCTCCTATCAACCCCAGTATACGTGGCCACTGATAGTGCGAGTTGTAGGTGAGCAAAATCTTAAAGTTCCCATCTTCTGTATTCATTTCATGGCAATGTTACCTTTCTATATTTTACCCTATGGAAGTATATATATTATCCACTATCCAAATCGATAAGCTCTTTTTTTATTTTGACAGAGGTTTAAACCAGGTTGATGGGGAGTTTTTTTGGAGGGGTGAGATTTATTTGCTCATCAACATCTGATACAAGCAGCCATTGCCACAACTAGGCAGGTGATATTCTATGTTGTCCACATTTTGTAAGTGAACTTTTAACTGTAACACCTCAGGCTGTTCTTGATTATTATATGCTTGTGGTTTTCTGATGCAAATGAATGTCCTCTTGACCCAAAGCAAAATTTGGATGTATGCAATTCACACTATAGTATGTTTCGGGAATACAGGTAAATTGTCGTTTTTTTCAAAGGTTAGGTCTTTCACATCATTGAACTTACACAGCTACAGTCCGGTATTAATTAATCTGAAGCTTTTTAACACTAATTACATTATTTTGGGATGCCCCGCAAAGCATGTTACACTGGCATTGAGATACTACTATTTACTCATCCAAACCAAAGCAGCTCAACTCCTGCAAAGATTTGTCTTGGGAGTGTCACAGAAAAGCAATGCAGTGTGAGCTAAGTTATAGATGGGAGCATGAAAACTTTAAAATCTAAGCTAGAAAAAATGCTGGTGGAAACATCTGTATATCCAGCACGGCTGTCTTTCCAAGAAGTTTTCAATAGTGTTTTATAGGTTCGTGGAGTTACCAAAGCACAGCAAATGATGCCACTTCATCTCAGATGGAAGCCTCAAGGTCTGGACAGTGTAGTGCTGAAAGTCTTCCTGAAGGCTGCTTTGAATTTCAATGAAACCTATAAATGCCTCTGAAATGAACTGCTTCACAACCCACTGAACAAAGTCCACACGCCAGATTTGAAGAATAAAAATCAACCACACATCAAATTGCTGATGTGATAGGATGATTTATTTTTCTATTACAGGCAAGTCAACAGTAACATGTTCAGAGGTATGTGTTTGGGCTCTGAGGGAAACCTATTGGAGAAAGCCTTAAGCTCTAAGGTTTCATGGCTGGATCATCTCTGCCGGGACAAGATTCCCCGTTGTATCCAGCTGCATACATTTGCAGGAACAGGCAGAAACCGGGCATTCAGTATGGTCCCTGGGCAAGAAAGAAGTAGCGTTATAACACTGCAAGGCAGCCTTTTATTTTTTTAAAAAACCAACAAATTTAATGTGTATTTTTCTCATTAAAAAAGAATAAAGCACTTTGGTATTGGTTAGAAAGAGATTACAGAAGACACAATATTGTTATAAAAAATAATAATCCAGAGCTGCTCATGTCTATAATCCACTCTACAAGCTGCGTTTTAAAAGTGTCTCTGAAATATCTCCCTCCAATTCTTATTTTAAGCAATAAATTGAAAGCAGTGTGTTCATGCTCCAAAAGTAAAATTGATTTGATGCTAAAGATTGAACAGTTGGAAATGGAGGAATACAGATTGGAATGTAATACAAGATGATTAGCTACCACAGAATAATGTATGTAACATCCCACCACCCATTTGAGCCTAAATGCACTGCCTGGAAACATCAATTGACTGCAGTTGGAACATTATGTTCATTCCCCGTAGAATCTTTCATGAGTGCATCTATATAGAGCTCTGGGCTACAGCTAATGTGTTGAAAGAGCTTCTAGAACAAAGGGCGATAACTTTAAAAGGTAATATAACTGCTTTGAGGTCAATACTGAGAAAACCATATGCCTCAAATATCCTACCATGTGTCAGCTAGCATTTACTGTGATAATAATGAACAGCTTTATTATAACATCTGAGGGCATGTAGGCTACAGCAAGACAACAGAGAGAAAATACTTGTAAGACCCTGAGAAATAAAAAATGCCCCAAAGTTGTAGAAGTGCAAAAAAAGCAATTTAGTCTTCACATGTGTAATGAATTCACTCATGCCAACTGCATGTTACTAGGAAGTCACGTTTTGCAAGGCACCATATGCAACTAGTTCCAATGGAGACCTGCCGTTCAGAAGGGGGGGGGAGGGGGGAAATCCCACCAAGGTGGCACATGAATCCTTGAGCATGCCTGTTGAAGGTATTTAGACTTAGAGCAGTAGTCAACAGTGCTAGTCCAAAAGCAGAACTACAGTAAGTTCCACTTGCACAATGGAACTTAACCTCCCTGTATGTTTTTGACATCTGCACTGGCAGGTTGGGGGACCTTCCAGAGAAAATTCGGAGGGTAGTAGGGGGACTGCAGGGGGAAGTGGAAGTTCCATTGTGCAAGCAGAACTCTGATCGTGCCATGTTGGCTGCAATCCTTATACCCAGTGGCGTAGCATGGGTTGTCAGCACCCGGGGCAAGGCAAGTAATTTGCGCCCCCTAACCGCACCGCACTGCACGCCTGGCACCCCCCAGATGTTGCGCCCGGCGGCTCCCCAGATGTTGCGCCCGGCGGCCCCCCAGATGTTGCGTCCGGCGGCTCGGATCGGATTCGCACAGCCAGCACTGCAGTGAGAGCTAGGTAGGGGCAGAGCTGCGAGTGCGAGCGCCCCCCCCAGATGTTGCGCCCGGTGCGGCTGGACCCCCCTGCACCCCCCACACTACGCCACTGCTTATACCGCCACTTTTTAGAGTCCAGGCAAACATTCAACATTAAACCGCTCTTGAACACCACACATGAGAACAGTAGAAAGCCCTGTGTTCCCTTAGTCTTCAAATACACTAAATTTGTCTTATGAATCATTCTACATTATGTGTTACCATGTTCGGTTAATGCTCAAGGTGGTGTTGGGTTTTGTAATAAAAAAAGCTCCTTAATTCTTGTATATTTTGAGGAAATGTGAACAGACTTTCATCGAAGGTATCAAATTCATGCGTATGCTTTCATTTGCTGGGTAATCTTATAATTTCTAGGGCTTTGTCTTAAATTCTCGGTGCTATTGTAGCAGAATTAGTAGCCTGGTAGTATGTGCTGGCCTACAAATCCATATAAGAAGAAGCTCTAAATAGGTGGGATGCAGTCAGGAAGAACCCATGGCTTAAGCAACACGTTATTCTTTGTTAACTTACCTGAACCAGCTAAGCATGTGTCCAGCATGACCACCGTGCCTACAGTTGTGGCACCAGGAAAACCAGTTGTTGAACTGGGCCAATTTCTTGTCCTTGCTAAGATCCACCTTTTCATCTGACTTTGATCCTCCTATGAATAAGAAAATGTAATCTAAATTGATTTCTATGGTAATGAGAACAGGTTGTTTAAAACCAACGGAGACAGAGTGCTGTATCCAATTAAGTTCAACTCAGAGGAGACTCACTGCAATTAATGACCAATAAGTTCTATGTGTCTATCCTGAGTATGACTAGGATTGGAAACAACTTTGAAATGGCACAGAAAACAAAATTAACCAGTTTAAAACAAAGCAACATAGTAATCAGTGTCTCAAGCAGTTAACATCCCCAGGCTGAAAAAAAGTATTAAGCCGATTTCCATAATACAGGTGAAAACACCTCTAGATTTTTTTTTAAAGTTTACAAATATTTGTACATGGGAATTTCATGCAGGACAGAGCATCTTTCAAATATCGCACAAATAATCTGTACCCATTTTGATGAAAAGATCTTACACTTGGCTCCCAGCTGTGAGGGTAATCATTATCAGGGAAATAAGTGTCTCTTCAAACATTATGTTTCCTGTAAATATGAAGCACTTCTTCACAGATAAAAAGTGTCAAAAATGTAGTCATGTGTTATCACCATACTCATCTATTTCACAGCACACAAAGCTGAGGCCAGTCGCCCTTCCCAGCATGTGTATCTGCAGGGCAACAGATGCGTGAAATTGCTCTAGAGGTGTCAGGATCCGATGAAACACATGATGAGTCCTGCATACCCAAGCCAGCTTGGGCTTGTGTTTTGCAAAGAGCAGTTCCCCATGACACATGGCAAACTGCTGATGAGACAGACTTTCAAAAGCAGCTTGTGAGTCTGTATGCATGTTTTCTTATTTATGGCAAAATATTTAAAGATTTTCCGAGTTGACCCTAAGTAGCTCTTTGAATTCCAGACATGATTTAAGTTTTCTCATTATCTGCAAAAATTTTAAAGGCCTTAAAAACTCCAAGAACCATTTAGTCTGAACTTAACTCACAAGGCCTTGTTTTCTCAGTGCCTGACTGGCATTTAAAGAAGTGGTATTCAAACAGCACCGTGAACAAGCCAACAGTGAACAAGCTCAACATCAAAAAAACAAGATCATGGCCACTGGGCCCATCACCTCCTGGCAAATAGAAGGGGAAGAAATGGAGGCACTGAGAGATTTTACTTTCTTGGGCTCCATGATCACTGCAGATGGTGACAGAAGTCACAAAATTAAAAGATGCCTGCTCCTTGGGAGAAAGGCGATGACAAACCTAGACAGCATCTTAAAAAGCAGAGACATCACCTTGCCAACAAAGGTCCGTATAGTTAAAGCTATGGTTTTTCCAGCAGTGATGTATGGAAGTGAGAGCTGGACCATAAAGAAGGCTGATCGCCGAAGAATAGATGCTTTTGAATTATGGTGCTGGAGAAGACTCTTGAGAGTCCCATGGACTGCAAGAAGATCAAACCTATCCATTCTTAAGGAAATCAGCCCTGAGTGTTCACTGGAAGGACAGATCCTGAAGCTGAGGCTCCAATACTTTGGCCACCTCATGAGAAGAGAAGACTCCCTGGAAAAGACCCTGATGTTGGGAAAGATTGAGGGCACAAGGAGAAGGGGAGGACAGAATGACAGTGTTCTTAAAGCTATGAACATGAGTTTGACCAAGCTGCGGGAGGCAGTGGAAGACAGGAGTGCCTGGTGTGCTCTGGTCCATGGGGTCACAAAGAGTCGGACACGACTAAACGACTAAACAACAACGCCCCAATAAGGATGGGGCAGTTAATACAAACAGGCCAAAGCCAGTAACAAACAGCTCATTTGCAGAGAAAGTCATTCATGTGAACTGATGTAAAGCAGTTCAGCAAAATAAGCATTCACAGGACTGTGTTCAGTTTTCTGTACCACAAAGCTAGAAGCCTATGAATAATAAAATGGAGAAGTTCAACAAATGGGAGGGAGCCATACCTGGACAGCTGGAAACTGGAGTGCCCATATTTATGAGACAAAGTGCACAGCGAGGAAGGGGCTTGCGGCAACCAGGACAACTTGTGACTTTGGACTTGGTCGGGGAGCCACTTACGCCATACTGACTGAATCCTCGGCCCTGATGAGGGATGGTCGAGCAGCTGTACGAAATTGACTTTCCGCAAAAATTGCAACTTACAAACACCTTGCAAATATAAAAAAGGGATACGAGGGTGATTAGATTTGCTTTTATTGATTATTAAGCAAGCTGCACCCCTTCATACCCACCCATTGGGATGATAGGGTTATCAATGGGCCATAATGGCTAAACAGAGCTTACAAGTTCAGAAGCAAAACATTTTTTAAAAAAATTAAAAGCTTGTATGTTCAGGAAAGAAAAAAGGACAGACAGGTGATATGGGGAGAGATATTGATTTTGAAAAATATAAAAATATATATGCCAATATTGGGTGGACTTTCCGTTTTGAAATAAAGGTTTGGCATTTATTTATTAAATTTCTATACCACCCTTCATCCAAGGATCACAGTTTACAATATAAATACACAAAACCTTACCAAACAAAAACAATAATGCTCACCAGTAGTGCCTCAGACAAGCACAGTGCAAACAACTGGATCTTCCTGTTCTTTGTAGAATGAAGTCTGCTACTTTATGTCCATTGGCTAAATTGACTCATTATGTGGCCAGGAAAATTAGAAGCACATTTACCTGGGCTAAAGGTTTTGAACTGGGATCCAGCTTGCTCCGATGAATGTCAAATTCTGCTCGCTTATGCCAAAACCGCCATGCATCCAACAGATTCCGGTAGTTCTCAATCCAATACTGAACCCTCTCATCTTTAAGCACATCGGATGGAGAACCCTAAAAAGGTAGGCATAGAGGAGACTGTTTCAAAGGTCTTCCGAAAGATGGTCTGAAACCATCATTACATTATTTTTAACACTAGCTTAAGAAATGTTTTTTTTAACCCATTTTAAATAGTTTTAAAGCTTGTTTATGAACACCACATAATAATGATGATGATGATGTATTTGCCTAGCTTGCAAATAACCCCAATCCAAACTGTGGCTTTCTGTAAACCAACAAGGATGAAAGTGCATGTACCAAAAGTTGCAGTCACTTTGCTTCTCCCACCCCTGCTGCGGCCACGCTACCAAGAACTAAGTCATGAATTGCCCCACAATATCCTATCAGAATTGCTACACAGTAGCTAACATTTGGGTAGCGCAATAATGAATTGCTATTATATTATTATTAATTAAATTTCTATATCATTCTTCATCCGAAGATCACAGGGCGGCTGATAATATAAAAACACAAAAATACATACAACAATAATGAACAAAAACAATAACCCCATACACAGTATTATTTAATTAAATTTTGATATATTAAATATTTATTAAATTATGCATGTTGCACAAAAAATAATGATAGTTGTATAGTATTAACATGAATTCTATAAATCGGAGATTTTTTATGTAAAAAAATACAAACCTGCAGCATACAATAACTCGCTGTTTGAACATCTCCTGTTCTATCAACATAGCTTTCCATCAAATCCACTCCATCTTTTGTGAGACCTGTCAGAAGAATTCCTTCAAGGTTCCCAGATTCCTTCATTTCATTTGTCAGTTTGTCAATGAACCTATTCAGCTATTTAAAATAAGAAGATTGGTCAGTGTTTTGCTCATACCCTGAATTACATCCACACACCTGCACGCACACACACACACACACACTCTCATACACAAATGGGGTGTGGTTGGGCTGGGCTCACTGCAGCATTAAGGTCTTGATTATTATATTTAATCAGGGTTTAGCGATAAAAGCAATAAATAATATCCACATTCAATGTGTACTCAATTTCAAAATATTTCCGAAAGGATACATAACAAATGCAGTGGCCTAAAAGAATCATGAATTCCAAGCTGACTCTTCTCTGTTAAATATTTGCTGCCCAGATGCAGTTCATACTTGCCACGGGCAAATGCTTTACAAGACTGTACAGAGATCATTAGACCTCTGTCCTCAAAAGCTTATGTCATAATAAATCTTTGGTCTTTAAGGTACAAGAAGACTTTATTAGATTTTACACTTATTTCAAATGGCTATTATACTTCAGGATGGCTAGCAAAATTCTTTTGGATGACAAAACTCTTTTTCCAACACCCAGAAAATAGCATGCAAGATTGTGTGCGATTACTTATTCAACCCTTTATGTTATCTAGAAAGAACAGAGTAAAGGAAGAAAATGAGGGCAGATCTGATCATCTCACCTGAGCATCAGTTAGGAATTTACAAGCAAATGCCACTCTGTCTCGTACAGCTACATTACTTTCATACTGAAAGAATACAAAACACATTAGCATTAGCCTGGGAAAAAATCAGCCACTGTCTCCTGAAAAAAAAAGGCTGATGTTAAGTTTTATGACAATTCTATATTTACAGTTGTATAAGATGACAAATTAATAAAAACGGCCTTAGTCATTTTGAGAAAACTATTCTCTTTTCTCGTTGCTTGCCAAGTGCAAGATATGTTGCAACTTCTCAGTTTGGTTTCCAAGCACCACTTCCCAAATCGGGGGGAGTTTTAGAAGCAGTGTACAGTGGTACCTCGGGTTAAGTACTTAATTCGTTTCGGAGTTCTGTTCTTAACCTGAAACTGTTCTTAACCTGAAGCACCACTTTAGCTAATGGGGCCTCCTGCCGCACCACTGGAGCACGATTTCTGTTCTCATCCTGAAGCAAAGTTCTTAACCCGAGGTACTATTTCTGGGTTAGCGGAGTCTGTAACCTGAAGCGTGTGTAACCTGAAGCGTATGTAACCTGAGGTACCACTGTACCATCAATGGCAGGGGGAGCAGGCTCTACCTCTGCTGAATAAATCCTATCTCTTTGCAGTATCTAAGGAAAATGTTTACATGGGGCTGGGGAACCTGTGACCTCCTAGATGTTCTGGATTCCCATCCCATTCCTGTCTCTGCTCACCACTGGCTCCACTAGCTGGGACCGATGGAAGTCAGGAGTGCAGCAACATTTGGAGGACCACCGATTCTACATCCCTGCCCTTAATCTTCAGAATGGGACCTTTAATGTATTTTTGTCAAGCAAGTGAAGCTGAGATCTCACCTCAAAGTTGAGAAGTGGAATCCATCTGGGGAAATTAATTATTTAGGGTTATGTTCCGCCTCTTAGATGATGGCCAACACTTGTAAACCTGAGTTCATTATTCCCTTTTCAATAACATTTTCACAGTGGATTGTTTCATGAAAGCTGCTGAAGACTGAAGTCCTAAGCAGCCCAGGGCCATTTTTTCTAACACACAAAGAACCAGATCAAGTTCTCAGTTTTGCATCTGAATATTTGTGCCTGTGTGTATTTAGTCAACGGAGATTAGCTAACAAAAATAGCTTACCAAAACCCCATCAAAAGAACCCGATTCACTTGTTAGGAAAGCAAACATGGCACACAGATACGGGTTGTTGAGCTGTAACCTCAGGGTGCTGCACATTTCCCTCCACAAGGAGTTCTTTTCATCAGTATAGCCTGATAATGCCATGGCCACTACGTTGAGGTTTAGATCACCTGCACAGCAAAAATAAAGGCCGCACAATAGCAAACATTTCAAGCCATTTGGTTTCCACTTCTGAAGGACATTTTGAAAATACAGTTAAAATCTTTTGTTTGGGATGACAGAGGGATCTGTACCCCCAAACTCAGCAATCAAGGTATTCAACAAAAACAACTGTCACTGACCCTGGAACAGAACTCGCTCTGAAAGGCAGAACAAAAGATACTGGTACAATTTATTGATTATGAGAAGAACTTGACTTCCCAATACTGGGAAAAGTAACACTACAGTGGTACCTTGCTTCTTGAACTTAATCCGTCCCAGGAGTCCATTCAACTCCCAAAACCTGTGTATTCCTTGCTGAGTTTGTGTACAAACTTTGTATTCCCTTCTATTTTATGTTGATTGTACTTGGAAGTAATCCTATACATTTAAAAGCCAAAATGTTTTAGTCATGCATGTATAACTGCTGGGTGGGGAGGAATAGGGCACTTGAATAATAAAGATGTTTTCAGTCAATTCTGGAGGAAAAACAAAATACCAAGGCATGGCTTCCGAATGGCTGCAGGAGCTTCCTGCAGTCAAGCAGAAGCTGCATTGGATGTTTGGCTTCCAAAAAACATTCACAAACTGGAACACTTACTTCCTGGTTTGCGGCGTTCGGGAGCAGATTTGTTCATGAGCCAAGCCATTCGAGAACTAGGGTACCACTGTATTGACATGAACTACTTCATACATTCTGATCATGCATAGCTGTTTAGTTTGATCTACCATTCAGAATGGCTGATTCCAGGACATAGTGCAACATTAGATGAAGAAATAGGGGAGGGGCGGGTTGGTACCACTGCTCCTTCAGCCTCTTCATCCATGGCAATGCAGTGGTACAGTAGAATTGTGATGTCTATCCTTTCCTGTTAATAATGCAATTGGGTATGGGATCCAACCAGGATTCCCCCCCCCCCAATATACTGTGTTGGATGCAAAGATCCATGAACAGATAGAAAACAGCCACTGACTACAAACAGGTACCTTTTCCAGAAGATGCTCCTTTGTTCAATATCTGTATTGCTCTTCGAATGTCCAAGTTGAATAGAGCTACAGCAGCAGCTCGCTCCCAGTCTCCTTCCTGTTCCAAAGAGTATAAAAAGGGCTCCACATCCAGATCTGTGCCCTTCTTTATCCATCCACAAAGCTGCAAAGCCAGTGACCTCTCCTCACTCAGATATTGAATAATGTCAGCCTGTCTGTCTGATCCACTCCTGCTGTGCCGGAGGTTCTCTGTTGTTCCTAAAGAGCAATTTTTTGAGTTATTTGCATACAAAGATAAATAGAATCTTAGACTCAGGAACATGTAAAGCTAAAACCAATACAGTCGTACCTCCGCTTACGTAGCCCTCTGGTTACGTAAACTTTGGGATACGTAAGCGGCAAACCCGGACGTATATTTCTGGGTTTTTGCCATGCATCCAGTTGCAGAAACCTCGGGATTTGACCGGAGCTCCGGAAGAGATCCCATCAGCAAATGGAGGTACCACTGTATTTATGACAAAGGCATCACAGCTACTGTTAATTAAGTCAGCTCTTCAGCTATTTCTTGCAGAGTTCGTCAAAACCTGACAAAAATTACTCATTTGGGGAGAAAGGATTTATCTATTTTTAGAAATCTGTGTACAAATAGATTAAGTTGGCTTGGGGTACTAGGAAGTCATGCAGAATGTCATGTGAACCAGAAAAGTGGTTGAGAAAACACACTCAGAAACGGCATGAGTTCAAAAGACATCAGGAAGGTTTCATTTTTGTTATCAGACATGTTTACATTCCACCCTTCTCTGAAGAACCTCAAAGTGGTGTACATCGGGCCATTAAATTTCCCACTCACATAAACCCTGTGAAGTAGGTGCAGCTGGGACAGAATAGCTGGCCAAAATGACTCATTAAAATAAAATTTAAAAATTAAGTAAGAAATCAGTCAAAATGCACTTACCCATAGAGGATTTCACGATAGATTTGATGCCTGCATAAACTAAAGATCCTTTGTTTCCTGTGCATTTCTGATCCATATCCTCAGTATACTGCTTCATAAGTATTTTCAAGTATAGGAAACTTGGCAAATTAACATTAAAATGAGATGCGGCAAAGATGATGATGGTGATGCATTTGGTGGCTAGGAAATTCCTATACCCCACTGGGTTTGGCCCTCCTCAGTTCTTGAAGAAACGAACTACAGCTTGGATCCCAAAAGCTACTTAAGGTCCGCAAAGAAAGAGCTTGTGCTATCCCAGTGGAATTTATTACCATTTCCACCCTTCAACAGCTGGTATTTGTGCCATATCATGTGGCCTGAGCACTGCCAGTAATGAGTTTTGGGTTGAAGGTCAATGGTGACTTTGCTTTTCAGGCATAAAGTAAATTAATTTAAGTTTTTATCTAAAGTTTTTATCTAATGGCTCATTATCTAATGGGTTGGTTGAATGGGGGAGGGGGACGGCAGAACCTTTTTCTTCTAATGGTTTAAAAAATAATGCTAGATATGGTTTGGGGCAGTTTATGAGTTTGTTCTGGTGTTTGGATTTTTTGTAACTACTGATGTTTGTTCTGTTGAACATATAAATTATTTTCTGCTGGTTGTCATAGCCTAAGGCAATAAATAAACTTTAACAGAATAACACACATTTGGATGAAGAGGAGCAGCCTTTAATGAAAAATCAGCCGCGTACCTATGTAATACACAGACTATACTACTGGTTAAATCTGCATCATGTCAGCAGAACTGTTCTGGCTCCTTAAAAGAATTGGAAAGTGGTGCATCACCCTGACCCCACGTTGCTCCATGTGCTCCCTCCTCTACCTTTCCTTCCTACTACCACTGTCTTCTTGGACACCAGTGGATCATCAATACATATTCTGCTCCTGCCAATATGCCCTAAGTCTCAGTTTCTGTTGCTGCTTATTTCTTTTACCTCCTGTCCTACAACCAATGGACATCTTTGCAGTTGTCTGGCTCATTTTTGCCTAGCTGAAGCTTTGGCCCATCCCACCTACAGTCTTCCCAAGCAGTAGAAATAAATACACCAAAACAATGCTAAGAAGAGAATATCTCATTCATTTGTCACCAGGTCAAAAGCATTGCCTAACAATGCAGCCAGCCCTCTATATCAAGACTCCTTCCTGCATACAAGAGTTTTTAAAAGGATATAGTGCAGAGTGTACCAAAGTGACTTCAGTTGTGGGTCTTCGTTTCCCGCTAGCACGTGATTTCTCCAGACCTGTTCCGTGTCAAGGCCATACCTGGATAATGCTCTAAGACGCATTTTAGTGGCTATGTCTTTTTCCAAAGAACTAGCCTTCCCATCTTCTGTGCACTCATACAAGTGCCTCCCACATGCCCACATTAAAGAGGTAATGGGGCTCCATGCCAGAGAGATCCTTTCAAACACAGTGAAGTCAGACATAGTCCTGTTTGGAGTCACAACCACCATTCGATTTTGATTAGTGGGATGCCATGCAAAGGAAGCAATATAGTGTTCACAGGGCTGCACACTTCTTTCAATGATTGTAGGCTCAGTTTCATCCCCAATAGGTGTAGGAGTGTGCTGCATATCGTAGAGCTTGATTATGTTACTATCCCTAGTCAAAGTAGCTAGCAATCCAGTTCTCGTCGGACACCATGCTACTTTAGTTAGAGGTTTTGGTTGTTCAGTCAGGGTCAATACAGGCTTTTCAAATTTCCTAAGGTCCCATATAGCAACCTGACCTTCATAGAAGGAAGCCACACGATCATGGAAGTAGGGGTCAACCGTTACGCCCTGAACAGCCTTTGTATTCACAAACATCTTTTGGCTTGTATTCCTAAGGTCAAAGATAGCCAGGTTTCGGTGCATTCCAGCTAGAAGAAGTTTCTGATCCCGTGGAAGCCAACAGAGAGAAAGGCAAGCATCGTTCTGGCCTAATTCATAAAGTGGTTTTGTCACAACAAGTCCTGCTTCAGTGTCTCCAGATGAAAGCCTTACTTTCTCAGCAGCAACTGGAGTTTCTGGAGTGTATTTACTACTTATGTCCCAGATCAGCACTGAAAAATCAGCCCGATGTTTATCTAGGCCTGCAGCAAGCCAATTGCTGTCCAATGGATTCCATGCCAGTGTGTTGCACTGCCGAGCATGCTTTGGAACAAATTCCTTTCCTATCAGATCCTTGGATTTTGAGTTATGATCTTGGCCAAGGCTGGTAAGGACAACTCGGCCATTGGCCTGCCCAACGGCCAGGAGACATTCAGGATCATATTTAGGATACCAAGCCACACATTTCAGATACGGAGTGTCTGAATTAATGGACAAAAGGGTAGCTGTAGTTTCTTCAGATAAACGCAGTGATCCTGCTTTGAGTTCAGAACTGACAGCAGATTCAATGTGGTAGAGGCTGAGCTCTGAGTCACAGACAACAAATCTATCAACATGGTGTGGGGCCCACAGAATATCAGGTTTGGAGCCACTCATGTCTGCTGCTGCAAATTGATGTAAGTAGTTTAAAGTGTTGTTGGAAGACTAGAACTGTGTTCGTTCATATGGACACTGTTTTTTTCAAAAAAAAGAAAAAGGAAACAGAATATTATAGCATGACAAGGCCGTAAATGTCTTCCAGATCTAAATGAGAATCTCTTAATAACATTCAAATTTCTCGTTCCCAAATGCTTTCTGGGGTAATCATGCAACGGGAGACTAAGACTCCAATCCCAACCCCCTTACCTGCCACAAAGCCCCAATGAATTCAGTGGGACCAGTTTCTGAGGAGAAATGGTTAAGATTGCACTATATAACCCACTTAAATTTTTCTGCAGTTTTACCTAGGTTTTAGGTAAAATAATAATAATTTTAAAGTTTTACTTGGGATCGTTTGCACGCGCGGTCGATACATCCTGCAAAACCCGTGATTCTCAATACGCAGTTTGCACACCCGCCCAGCGTCCACACCCGTCGTCTGAAGCGCGAATGGGCGTGTCGTACCCGCCTTGAACTCAAAAGGGCGCAGCCGGAAGGCGCGCAGAGGCCGCCCCGTCCCCAAAGACCCCACCCCAATTCTGCAGGATGCTGAGCACTGCCGCCCCTGCGGCTCAAGAGGAAAGAGAGGCCGAGTCTGCCACCGCCCAAACCGGAGCTGTCTCGCGGGAGGGACTCACCCTGCAGCCCCTCCGCTCCTGGGGTCCCGGAGTTGCGCAGTCAAAATGAAGCGAACCAGTAAAAGTATAAGATAATTGGGGGGGGGGGAGTCGCAGTTTCGACTTCCGTCTCAGGGAGACTTCCGCTTCCGGTGCGAGCGGGAATACATCCGGTGAGGTGGGGGCGAGTCGGAGGAGGAGACCTTATGTAGAATGGATGGGCGTGGCTTTCCTGGGCTTCGGTTCTTCGAGCGCGGAGGGGTTGATAAGCGGCTGCCCTTACGTGGCAAGGAGGTTGCGCAGACTTCGGCCGCCCGGGATTCCAGGAGGCTAAGCTGCCCGCCAGCCCGCCTGAACATCACTTTCAAACAGTGCCGGATTTACGTATAAGCTGAACCAGCTATAGTTTAGGGCCCCACTCTCTTGGGGGCTCCCCCCAAAAATTAAGGGGGAAAAACCTGCATGTGCATTTCCAAAATATAAGATAAAAAACAAATAAAATAAAACCAGCATACAGCAACAGTGTTTTGTGTTATTCTGTTATGTACCTATTAGGTCCATAAATTACCATATAGCATATATTCAACACACACAAAAATTGTTGTTGACAAAGGACAGCTGGACATATAAAGGACCCCGTTACCTTCAGGAGCTTAGGGCCTCATCAAACCAAAATCTGGCCCTCCTTTCAAAGCTCCCCCTTTGCAAGTGGAAGGCTCAAGCCCACCACCCTGAGATTAAGGGGGTCAGGCTCTGCCAGTTTATTTATTTTTTATTAAAGATTTTCTTGGTTTATAAAAGAACGTGCCTTGTCTCTCTTTTTTCAGGTTGTACAGCCTTACAAATCAGTTACATTTGTTCTGAGACATTAGTGTTGTGTACGGTATTGAGTTGGGGAAGAAGGGGGGGAGAGGAAGGGTTGGGCTGGTGAGCCTTATATTCTTTTGTACAGTGTACGTGTGGGGTTTTGTGTCAGCGTCGACTGGGTAGGTAAACCATTTCTATTTGTTTATTACATTGCCTTGGCAGTGAGAAGTATTGGAGGGCAGGGTGTGGTTGGTTGGCTGCAGTGGGGTTTGTTTGCATTTGTTGTGGGGAGAGGGCTTGTTGGGTGAGGTAAACCAGATTGATTTGTATGCTGACGGTGGATTTTTGTCCTGTTGGGCTGTGTATGTGATAAAGGGGCGCCATACTGGGGTGAAGGCATCCTCTTCTATTTTTCCCCGTCTCAGTTTCAGTTTATTGGTTAGCTTTTCTAGTAAGGCCATTTCCCATACAATTGGATACCATTGGTCCATGTCTACTCCTGACAGGTCTCTCCAGTGCTGGCTATGAGGCTTCGGGTTGCTGAGAGTAGGCGGGTTATAAACTCTGTATAATGTGAGTGGTCATTATGAACTTGGAAGATGTTCAGCAGGGCCAGTTCTGGGATGAGTTCTAATACCTGTTTAGTTTTTTTGCATATCTCTTGTAGGACTGCTGTCCAGAAGGGTTGGATTTTAGGGCATTCCCATCACATGTGGAGGAATGTCTCAGGCACTACCAGCTGAGCTATATATGTAACATCACTGTGCTGTTCTGGTAGACAGTAGCAGACAATATTTTTGGAAGAACCAGTTGCTATGTCAACACGAACATAGCACTGCTATACTGGTGCAGTTTGGAAGGAAAAAATCTGAAAGATCCTCTTCCTTCATGCCACTTTTAAGGGTACAATCCTCTTCCCACTTACCTAATGGGAAACTGGATTGAACTCTCCCCCCCCCCCGCAAGTAGACACACATAGGATTGCTCTGTAAATCAGGCAGAATTTGTTGAAGCCACAAATCCCATTCGTGATACCTTGCAATAATAAACCCTTTGAATAGGGTTGCCGGATGAAAAAGCGGATAGGTCACCTGCACTTTGATAATTGTGTTGAACACTCAGTTTCAGCAGGCCATGCAAGTTACCATATTTTTCGCTCTATAAGACACACCAGACCACAAGACCCACCTAGTTTTTGGAGGAGGAAAACAAGAAAAAAAATATTCTGAATCTCAGAAGCCAGAACAACAAGAGGGATCGCTGCGCAGTGAAAGCAGCGATCCCTCTTGCTGTTCTGCCTTCTGGGTTAGCTGCGCAGCCTGCATTCGCTCCATAAGACACACACACATTTCCCCTTACTTTTTAGGAGGGAAAAAGTGAGTCTTATAGAGCAAAAAATACAGTATGCTTACTGAAATTCCCTCTTCTACACAACTATTTAAAACGCACCTGACTGTGCCTCTTTACCAATCTGGTCATCCTAACTTTGAGCAGTTTACAGACAAAAAAGTAACAGCATGTAGCAGAGCATATGAGAGGAAGATTACAACATTCATTAGTCTTGTAAAGGTTGCAGAAACAGCTGTTTAACAGGACCTGAATTAAATGATGTGCTCTTGAGACCCACAAGGTGGAGCTCAAATCATCTTTCTTTCTTTCTTTCTTTTTGCAAAACTAAGGACTGAGAAGAGTGAGCCCCACATTCAGTGCTGTCAAACAGGCAATGGATATTAACAAAAGTACAAAACTGTCGACACACTTCATGTCAGTTTATTTAGCGTGAAATACCAAGTGCTTAATGATTAAAGATACAATAAAATACTGGGACTCAAGTCCGCCTGAAAGCTATGTATAGAGTAACTCTCTGTTGCTTCATCACAGATCTTTGAGAAGCTAGCAGTTGTGTGGGAAATACACTTTGCGAAGAGTTGACTCTGGCAATGGAAACAATCTTGGATGGGTTGCACCAACATGGTGTACTCCAGATGTTGTTAGACTCCCAACACCCATCTTCCGCAGCCAGCACGGCCAATGGTCATGTATTATAGGAGCATACTTGTCAACTTTTCCCTTTTCTTGCGAGGAATCCTATGCGGAATAAGGGAATTTCCCTTTTAAAAAGGAAAAAGTTGACAGCTATGTATAGGAGTTGTCATCCAGCAACATCTGGAGGGCACCCTGTTGAGTTGGATACTCCTGGGAACCTTGTTCGGTTTTATAAACAGGCAACAAATTGGTCCCAGATTGAAATTAAATACCACACAGGCATCTTGTATCTGTTCAGCTTGTCAAAAGCAAAAACTTTGTTGGACTACAGCTGAAGCTTTTTCCTGTTTGCTGAAAAGCTATAGTTTTTATTCATTCATTTCTGAATTTCTGAATTGCTTACTAAGGTACATCTCAAATTAATGTTCTCAAAGTGATTCACAACATAATTACAGATGTAAAGGTTAAAAAAAGGTAAGGACCCCTGGACGGTGAAGTCCAGTCAAAGGCGACTATGGGGTTGCGGCGTTCATCTCGCTTTCAGGCTGAGGGAGCCGGTGTTTGTCCACAGACAGCTTTCCGGGTCATGTGGCCAGCATGACTAAACCACTTCTTGCACATGGAGGACCGCGATGAGTGCCAGAGCACATGAAACACCGTTTACCTTCCCACCAAAACGGTACCTATTTATTCATATTTACATATGTAAAACAGTTATATAAATTGTTGTGTGTGTGTGTGTGTAACAATTTACATTTTACAGTTTACATTTTATTATGGAAACAGTTGAAAACAATGGATTTTTTAAAAATAACAACTATATAAAATATGAAAATATAAATCTAGAATAGCTGCTTCCCTCTAATTGCAACCCAACAACCACAGAGTACAATGCCATCTATTTTAATCTATTATTTACTATTTAGATATACAGTTATCTCACAATCAAAGTAGTTAATAGACAGTAGTTAATCCTTGATTTCTCTGTATGTGATAGTAGATCCCTAATTTGATCCTAAATTATTCCCATTTTAGAAAATAACAGGCCAAGATATGTGCATGTTGTTGGATTTGTTTAACCTCTCTCTTTAGGTTTTCAGGGAAAGTAAACTATAAGAGGAAAAAGTTTTGGAAGCTGTGAGGCAGCATCCAGCCAGCCTCCACATCAACCTTTTCCCAATATTCCCACACATTCAGGGTTTGCCAGGTTTCCAAGAACATATCCATGAAAAGAGGCTAATGGAAGCAACATTTCCCAGACAGTCTGGAGACCAGCCTGAAGTTGTTACATAACAACTACCAAATGAGAAAAGAACTACTAACTTTCCTATAGACCTGGGGTGGCTAACCTGTGGTTTTCCAAATGTTATTGCATTCCAGCTCCTAAGAGCCCAAGCAAGGCTGGCAAAGATTCAATGGACCTGCCGGGTGACTTTCATGAATGCTATGAAAGATAGGAATGTTAATAATAAACTGCTAATGACCCAAAGAAAGAACTATATGATAAACTTGACAAGAAATTTATTTCAGTTAATTCTGAAATAATAAACATGGTGACACAATATTTGGTCCAATCATATAGGTCCCCAAAGGTGGCAAACTGGTTCATTTCTGATTAGATTTTCTGTGTAGCTTGAAATAATTCATACCCTTACAGCAGCATATGTTAGTCTGCTCAAATTACTTGGTTTGGGAAATGCTGGAGCTCGTAAGTGCACTTCCTGGACTTTACACTAATGAGTCTCTATTTTCTTTGTAAGGTATTCAGAGGCAACAGTTGCCATGTTGATTTCAAAGAAACAAAGTTGCTGGCATCCATCTGTCTCAGGAGACAACCTTTTGGGGAGAAGTCAAACTGCTGGAAGGTTGCATCACCTGCTGTGGCTTTAGAGAAACGTAGAGACATCTTGATCTCAAAGAAAAGAAGTTACAATTACATTTACATTTACAATAGTGAGTGGAGAATAGTGAGTGGAGCCTTCATCCCCTGCTCCTGAGGAAATAGGTCTGTCTAAGTCGACTTTGAAGACTCATCCCCAGAACCATCAACAGCCCAGGAGAACCATCTACTACAAAAGGAGGCCCACTGTGTGCATTCCAGTCCACTGAAGCACATGGCTGTGTAACAGAATGCCAGCTTTCTCCAGGGAAGCTAGGATGATGATCAGAATGATAATGATCATTTTATGAATTACTTTCTACAAGTGTATGAAGACAATTTACAAACACAATTAAAAAAATAATAATAAAGTTTCAAAAACAATACAAAAAATAATAGAAGATCAGTTTACAACCAAAACATGATAACATGCAATCCAGAGTCATTTTCATCCAGTTGGAAACGCCTGTTGAAACAA